AGGGATTTTGATTTTATTGTGGAAGTATGCAAGATTGATGTCAGCCCTTGGAGGTAATCCAGACAAGAAATACAAGCTGTGAGTACTAACACTACCTTTATTGCAAGGTTACAGTAACAGACTCTTGCAAGTCTGAAAGCAGCTCTCCTCCCCTTGCTTTAACTTTCCAGAAAACTAGAACAGGGCTTTTCAACCTTTTTACCCATTCTATCACTTTTAGGATATGGCAACATCCGAGTACCACCAGTCACCTAGCAAGGTGTCAAAAACTTGATGACAAAAAAAAGGAAAAAAGTGATAAAGTATAGGTAAAAAAGTGCCCCCCAAGGCACAGCCAAGCAAGACACCTGCCTGCCCACCCGGCGGCACTCTTCCTCCTGTCCGAGGTTTTCATTGTTGTGAGCATTTCTGCTGAGGATTGGCAGCTGGGGTGGGGGGGTTGGTTTTTATTTCCCTCATCTGCTGGGTGGTTGCAGCAGGTTTTGGTCACTTCACATGACCCTGAGACACTGTGACCATCATAAATATGAATCAGTTGCCAAGCATCTGAATGTAAATCACAAGACCCTGGAGATGCTGCAACATTCCAGCTGATCGGTGCTTCTTCTGGGCTCAGCTGAAGCGCTAGGATCAGCGCTGAGCTCCAGCTGGAGCCTGGCGCTGATTCTGGTGCTTCCACTGAGTCCTAACAGCCCTGCAGCTGCCACGGGTTCAGCTCATTCCCCTCCCCCGCTACCACTTTTCTAGGATGGTCGCATACCACCTGCCAGGTGCCAATGTACCACAGGTGGTACCCGTACCCGCCCTGAACTAAAAAAGGTCTCATCTTAGGTTGTTTCCCACCCTTCTGTGGATTGAGATACCTTTTTCATGACCATTGCCTAGGCTGTGGTTTTTATTCCTGTCTCCCAAGGTCATTTCTACAAACCATTACAGAAGTGTGAAGACTTGGAAAAATGAAAAAAAAAATCCAGGATCTTAATTTTCATTTTCCTCTTCAAGACATTTATGTTTTGTATACATATGTATTGTTTAAAAAGAAAGAAAGAAAATGAAGAGTAAAGACATTCTAACAAAATGTTTCCTGTTAGAATTATTAATCCATTAATATAAGATATACATATACTGCCAGTTTGTATTTCCAAAAATGTTTTATACTAACTTGTAATAAGAAGATTGAAGAGTGAGAGCACAAGAGTACTACAGAATCTGTACACAGAAGACATATCTCAAATGCAAGACAAAAGATGCATTTATGCTCTCTCAAATAGATGAGAGAATTCTACCATTAAAGGAAGGAAAGAAATAGGATTCAAGGTCTGATTAGCTTGGGGCTTGTTGACTCTTGACTTTTAAACTAGAAATTAGTTAAATTTGACTAGGCTCAAAAAAAAAGACACAAAAGAAATATTTTAAAACTTTTTAAATTTAATTAATAATTAATGATTAAATTATACTTTGAATAAGTGAATAAGCCAGGTTAAATACATTGCATTTCATAAAATATTAGATCACAAAAGGTTGGCATGATTATTAATGGACATACTTTATTTTCCCCAAATTTCTGGTGTTTTTCTACTTCCAAAACTGACTTTACACTTTTCCTTATAATCCTTATAGCCACCCATTTTAGTCAGCATTTGTTAATGGGGACCTCAGAGACTGCATTTCTTACCAATTGGCTTCTTAATTTTCTTCTCATTTTAACCTTTAAATCCCTTTATGGCTTAGCACCAAATTACCTTCAAGACCACGTTTTTCCATTAGAGACACTCAACCAATTTGATCTTGCCAGGAAGTACTACTTTTGGGAGCTGAAAGAAGTTGAGGCTTGTAGATAATTTTCAATAATAGCCCCAGGCCTTTGGAATACCCCCTCCCCAGTAAAAATTAGATGGAGCCCTACTTTGTCTACCTTCTGGAATCAACTAAATACAGAGCTTTTATGGAAGACATTTGGCACATAATGTTATCTGTGCTGTATATTGAAGGCTGCTGAATTATTGAGAGGTTGAGAGGTTTTATGATTTTTAAAAAAATAATCTTAATTTTTGTGAAAGTTTAAACACTTTAGAATTATTTCAGACAGAATGGATGGATGCATGCCATGTTGTGTACTGTATATGAAATAAATGATGTCCTATTTCTAGTTCTAAAAGGTATATTAATCTTCATTTCAGTGCAAGCAATCCTGAGTTATATTATCAAACCAGTCCAGGTAATGGCAATAACCTTTAAAGAAAGTTCAGCTAGGAAACCCAGATTCAGTTTCTGATGTCTTTTGTTAAATGATGGTAATAGAAAATCATCAGCTGTCAGTTAGAAGAGAAAATAATCCAGATCACAAATGGTCACCATGATGATCAGCACACAGCATGCAGACAAACAACTCCAGAAAAACCTTGGCCATTTCACCCTATTACCCAACTGATCTTTTTTCCTGGACTGCTTTTCACAGTAGAAAAACAGCAAATTTGGATCAGTTTTCTAGGGAAGAATGTCTGGCTATGTTCCACAACATATTGATGTCCAAAAAAATAATCATGTTATTGAACAAATGAAAGAGTGTAGTTAATTTATGGCTCAATGTGTCAAAAGAGCACAGAAAACTGGACAAACTGAAGAAGCCATGATTATGTTAATCTTGGGTCCAATGTTGTATATAAGATCACTACCACATAGTCTAGCCATCATCAATTGCATATGGATGCTTGGGTGCAATGATGGAACCCTACTTTTTATAGTGGTATAGAAGAAGAAACATTGCCAAGTTCAAGAACCTTGGTTCTTATGCCTAACACAGCACTGACCAAACTTATGCTCACTTAAAAAAAAAAGGCCACAAGCCTCCCACTAACTATGCTAGATTTAGATTTTCTATCTTTTTGAAGCAGTAAAATTACTACCAAATGTAATAGGAAGGAAGGAAGGAAGGAAGGAAGGAAGGAAGGAAGGAAGGAAGGAAGGAAGGAAGGAAGGAAGGAAGGAAGGAAGGAAGGAAGGAAGGACTCCAACTTCACTAAACAAATAATAACCCCAAATTTATTTATTTGTTTGTTTGATTGATTGATTTTTATCTTTTTTAGCTTTTTGCCTTTATTGCTATATAAGTAACTCTAGGCAACAAACATATCTCATACTTTCCTCCTTCTATTTTACTCACAACAACAATAACCCCCTGAGGTGGGTTGGCCTAAGTGACCAGCCCAACATCTGCCAGCCTAGGAGAACTCACAGTTGGCTGGTTTCTAGGCCAGCACCTTAACCCCTACAACTCCATCCATTCATCTTACCCACTTCTGTCCTTTGCAATTAAAACTTTCCTTATGGAAAGATATCTTGATTATGACCTAAAATTTGAAATGAAACTTAAGCATATAGATGAGCTATCAAAATATGGATCACCACTAGATGGCTGGAAAGAGGTAGAGAAACGTTGTTAAATCTAATGGTCACCCAGAATTTATAACCCATATCAGATAAGTCTGTAAATATCATGTAACTCTTCATAAAGGTATTGCCTCAATGTGTGTGTTTTTCTCGTGATCATCCTACCTTCTTTATTAGTTATTAGATCCTTGTGCCAAGTGTACAGTGAAGAAGTACATGCAGAATATATTCAGATTCCAATAAGCAAGGAGAAATATACTTTTGCAGAAAATTATTTATTAAAATTTTCAGCCTTGTTAAATGGCAAAACCTTAAACCAAAAATATTAAAGGGCTACTCTGTGAATCAGGTGAAAAATGTTACCAAGGTAAACCTAAACAAGTTAGGATATCTTTTAAATCTTTCAGAATATGAGTTGAAAATACTATTTTTTTTCAATTCGTGCAAGTCTTTTTTGAACTGAAATCATTTGTTCATCAGATATGCCACAACATTTAAATTCTAATCGATTTTTGTCATCCATAATGTAAATTTCTCTTGTAGGGTCAAGGAGGTCAAGAAACTCTCAAAGAAAATTAGTTTCAACCCAAATTTCAAGCAGCAAAGCTACGTATGATTCTCTGTGGAAGTGAAACTGAATTTCTGTCTTAGCAAGGGGTTGAGAACACACTGGGAACTCACAGCAAGGTCCTTAAACATTTACATTTGATGGCTTACAGAACAGCCAAATTATGGTAATTATATATCTGGGTGCCATAAGCCAAAAGGCTCGTGACCTTTGCTCTATAGATTTTTATTGCAGCTGTGGACATGATTATTACCATTATGATTTGCATAACACCGAATAGTAGTTGCAACATTATATGTCCAAGCTCTTTTAGTAGCTGCAACATTATATGAACAGTCCTTAATTGTTCATTTTTAATGGCAATGCTTGAAAAAAGGCTCTGCTCTTTGAATGCATTAGACTGATCATTGCAGATATCATCAATTTTCTAGAGTGGTGGAAAGTTGCATGTCTTTTGGAGAACATAACAGTTTTTGTTTTTGTTATGTTTTGAAGACTTTTCTCTCTATAGAAGAGAGCTAGTGCTTGAAGACAATACCTGAAGCCCACTTGAGCTGTAGAGAAGAAGGCTATTTCCTTCACGTGCAAAAGAATTGAAATAGGTTCATTGAAAGACATTGAGATTTGAAATTTCACTTCAGACAAAACTTGCACCAGGGAATCTATTGGAGTTGAAAAGGATAGGTGACAAGATGGATTCTTGTTTCATTCCTTTTCACTTAGAATTAGAGAGAGAGAACAAGATGCTCTGGGGAGTTGCATAGAACCAGTTCATGAGATGTTATGAACAAGGTGAGGCAACCCTAATTGATGAAGATGGCAGGCAATTTCCTCTATAGCCTGTTTCTGAGAATCAGACTGAAGGTTGCCATTAAATTAATAAAACAAACATAACATTTGACCCAAGAGGAAGAAGTGCCCCTTTTTGTTATATAATGAAGAACCTGTCATTGATCAAGTCTTGACAGTTCTTTCCTAAATATTGTTTGCTCCTTAGCCAAAGCAATTTACTAGGAAGATATCTGGCATATAGCTTACTTACTGTGCTTGACAAGCATATTTGGCAGCATTTGGATGGGACAGTCTTGACTCCTCTCTTACATAACAAGACAGTGATGCATCTGTCCTTATCTTCCAGATCTGAAATGAGACCACTTTGTATGAACAAAAACTACATGACTGAAAGAAACCCAGATACTGCCCTGATGCCATCAAGATGTGTAAATGGGAAAAGCTACATCTGCAGTTCTATATTCAGAAATACAACATCCAAGAGTTTAGGAGCCCTGACATTAAAACAACAAAACAAAAAAAGATACTGGAGGCACTAAAGCAGTGGTTCTCAACCTGTGGGTCGGGACCCCATTTGGGGTCGAATGACCATTTCACGGGGGTCACCAAACAAGGCTGATGTATAAGTGGTTGGGGGTCACCACAACATGGGGAACTGTATTATGGGGTCGCGGCATTAGAAAGGTTGAGAACCTCTGCACTAAAGAATGATGTAACTTAGGGTCTATGTCAGTAGTTGAAACTTAGCTTGTCAAGTCAGTAGTAAGATGAAAAGGGAAAAGGTTGCTTATATTCACATGACATCCGTGAATTAACATAGCCAATTATATTAAATCTGGTGAGTTACATGAGCCCAGTCTGTGTGATTAATTTATGATTAAGTATCTTCTGCCAGCCTCAGCAACTAAGTTCATTGAATAAAAACATAATTAAGTAAAAATGGAAACTTAATTCTATTATTTGGGCAATGGATTCGGAAGAGTGAACCTTCTTCAAAGCTGAGAATGGCAAATGTCAGGAAGTCACTTCCCCTTTCACTCTACGAGAAGGAATCATACTAGCCATGACTCTAGAACAAAAGGAAGCAATGCTGGTTTTATAGCTCCTGTAAACCTTGTACCAGAGGTTACAAACCATATAAAAACACATGTGCAAATGCATACACATGCACACACACACACATGCACACAGACACAAACACTGGGTTGTTTTTTTTTTTTTAATTTTGCCTGCTGTGCAATATTAGCTATAGATATAATAATTTTTATTCAAGGGTTCCTAAGGGCTAAAATTATTTTTTACAATAATTTTGTTAAAGTTTACAAAATCTAACAGAATCTAAAGAAAATATGAAAAGTGAAAAAGAAATGGAAATAAAGAAAAGAAAAAATAGATATATAAAAATGACTACCCCCGTCCCTCCAGGAATAGCATAAACAATTTGGATGACCTAACACCTTCTCTGGTACTTTAATTTTAAAAAAATATTTTCTTCTCTTATTTTATCCCTTATCAATAACCATACTGCAAAAAAAAAAAATCAGTCCAGATCAACAAAAATCTATCAAGACCTAAAAATTATATCAAGGCTTCTTTCCAGGTAAAAAAATTGAGAAAGGCTGCTGTGGACCCTGAGTACAGGTCAAAGGCAGCCAGCAGCATGTCAGCATCTATGGATTTATTTGCCTTTAGATTTGCATCAGGGATAAGCAGTTTTTTTGGGAAATAAAGCACAGGTAGTCCTCGGCTTACGACCTCAATTGAGGCCAAAATTTCTGTTGCTAAGCAAGACATTTCTTGCTTAGTTGTTAAGCCGCAGTTGTTAAATGAGTCACTGCAGTTGTTAAGTTAGCAACACAGTTGTTAAGTGACTCTGGCTTCCCCATTGACTTTGCTGTCAGAAAAGGGGATCACATGACCCCAGGACATTGCAACCATCATAAATAAGAATCAGTTGCCAAGCATCTGAATTTTGATCATGTGACCATAAGAAGGTAGGTCACTTTTTTCCAGTGCTATTGTAACTTCAAACGGTCATTAAACAAACTGTTGTAAATCAAGGACTACCTCTAATACATTTGCAAGAAGTTCCTGAAAGCCATAGGCTTTGGGTTCCTGATCCAAACTGTATAGAATTTCATCTCCCACTTGGACAGGGCTAGGACTTTTGGATAGGGTTGGGATGATTTGAGCAGGTTCTTGTTGCTAAAATGCTACATTTTGGGGTGATACATTTCCTTGACATTGTCAAACAAGATTCAGGGACTGCAAAAAGAAAAAAAAAGTAGGATGCAACATTGCACAATTCTGATTTAAATTATGTGGGGTCAGGATTTGAGGTGACAGAGGCTAACAGTCACATTAATTTTATAGATTATTCCATAAAGCAGTGACATCTTTATTCAGACTGATATGGAGCCAGAAAAGTCAAGTTTCTGTAATTAATAGCTGTGAAGCGTACATTGGGGCAAAGTGCAAAACGTTTTTTCCAGAGTCAGTTTTGAAATATGCACAACCCTAGATTTGCAGATACAATAAAATGAACAATAAATGTTGTACAGGCAAATGCTGTTTCTTCAAAATAAATCCTGTTAATTTCAATGGAGTTTCCTCACATATAAATGTACATGGGATTACAACATGCCAGCATAGATACTGTTTGGTTCACTGGGGATGAGCTGCAGATAATATTGTAATCAGATAATTTTATATCTCATAACAAAGGGGGTCTGATTCCAACTGTTCAAATTATGAAAACTCGCAGAATGTAAAGGGAGAAATACAATTTATCTGAATCCAATGAGACCTCCTAACTAAATGTACAGAAGACTTCAGCCTGTTTTAAAATGTGTTCCATCAAAAATAATAGGACTTGCTTTCTAACAAATATTGATGTGTTTGGTATCAACCTGTTTCTTATAAACATAATAAAAATAGCTTGTAGGTCTGTCTTGGACTGCTTTCTAGGAGGGTCTTCTCTGCCTTTGTGACGAATTGATTTAGCTGCAAAGTAATAAGCCAATCCAGATATGTAAGCAATGCTATTGTATCCTGCCATCCTGCCATGTCAAGGTAGCAACTACTTAATTATATTTTACTAGAGCAATAAATAAAAGTTAAATGCTCTTCCCTCCAAATATCAGGAGGCATGTATACATCTGTATAAATAATATGTCATTTCCAATTTATTTCCATGTAATAGGGTTGCAAGTGTCCAATTTGTAGCCTCAGTGCACAACTGCGATAAGGTCAGGCCCTGAAAAATTGTTATCGTATTAGCCCCCTTTCCATACAACCTTGTAAAAATGACTCTTAACTCAACATGTGCTCTATCATGCAAGAAGTATGGCCCGCCAAATGATTTAATTCAGTTGAGGTTTATATAAAAATGTCTCGCTTGTGGCACTGAAATGGTTCCATCTTCTTTTGTGTGTATTTTTTAAACCTAGTGTTGTGTTTGTTCTTAATGAAGATAAAAATATACATTGAAAACTTTTATGTTCTCTCTGGAATTCAAGAGAAGCAGTAGACAATGTGCTGTTGTAACTAAATAGCAGTGGAGAAGATGAGTAATTCCTTAGGATGTTGTTTGGAAAACAAGGCAATAATCCTGAAGTGTGTTAGCTTCTATCTTTCCTTATAGAAACATTTGGTGTATGAGTTTTCCAGCAATTAATTGAGCTAGCTACATATTTTGGAAGCAACTTGTAAAAATAAGTTTGTTGGGTTATAAAGAGGAGCGTTTGAACACTTACTAGGTAGTGACTATTAATTCTGAAAAATAATGGGCTTAAATCATTCTGTTCTTATATGTTTTGTCTAATATGTATGAAAATTCACCATCATTATCCAAAGTCTTTACAGAGCATATACTATAATGACTTTGTAGAAAGAAGAGATTATAATAAATACAGTGTACTAAAATGGTAACAATGGAACCTATTTTTTTAAAAAAAAAAAAATAACATGCTTCATCTTCACGTAGGATTGAGCATTTGGGAATGGAATCAAGAACTATGTGTGAAATAGGTCCTAAAAGAAATTTAAGTTACGGGTAGTATCAATTACAATTAATTCATGTAGAGCATAATAGCGTTTCTCAACTTCAGCAACTTTAAACTGTATGGTCTTCAACTCAAGCAATGCTGCCTGAGGAATTCTGGGAGTTGAAGTCCACACAGCTTGTAGTTGCTGAAGTTGAGAAACACTAGTGTATCAATAATCAGCCATTTGCTATGACTTCCTGTTAAGCCTGATTTGGTATGTTAGTATTGCTACATAATTTTACATTTCTTAGTTTTTTGTATGCTACCGCATATTATTATATCCTATTGCAACTATTTCAATCACTCAAGTGTTTTCTTTTAGTGGCTCTATCACTATATATTTGAGTAGTAAAAGAATGAGGACAGATGTTCTGGTCTACTATTTTTAAATTTTCTCAGTTGAACCCTGGATTTTGGTTGTGTTAGTTGGAAATGCTAGGAGTTATATTCTCAACCCATATGGAGAATGTTAGGTCAGCAACTACTGTTTTTAAGAGCCATCAAACCCTGGATAAAGCTTCACAGAACCCCCATTATTATTTTTAATAGCAAGAACTTAAGAAGCTATTGTAATATACTAGTAACATGTGTGGAATTCATACATTAATTATTTCATATAATTATATTAATTAGTTTCAATAATTGGGTGCCTATAAATCTGTATCTCTCAGCAAAATTAGACAATACAGAAAAGTAATTGTTTTTTCAGAATTGGTGGGTTTTCTATATAAATAAAAATGTATTTGTGTTTTTAAGTTATTTTTAAACTAAGCAGTTCTTCAATCACCTTCAGAATCCATGAGAACTAAGGATCAACTAAGGATTGGGAAAAAAGTAAGAGTAGTATGACTATTTAACCTTCTTGAGATTTTAGCAGCTTACATTGACTTAGAGGAGTGATCAGAATTATGGAAAAATACATGATGAAATAAAAAAAATCTTGTTCTTTTTCTATATATGTTGTATTTATTTACTAGAATCATTCTGATTGCATTATATAGAATTCAAATTCAAATTCTTGAAAATTTAACCAAGTTATATGAAAAAAATAATGTATTTTTTATAATGACCGTATTTATACATCCGGTCACATTGGATTGTTTATATCTTGCTGTCTAATTTTTATCCTAGGGTCCAACTTTAACTGTATTATGGGATATAGCAACATAGGTGAATTGTTTTCAGGACTTGATAGAGCTTCAATATAAAGCAGTCAAATATCTTAGTTGCAATCTGCCCCATAGAGGGCAAACTGAATATTCCTGGAAAAATGGATCAGTGTGATGTCTAGAAGAAGAAAAG